GAAGCAGAAAGAACCGCCGGATCTTCACACAAGACACCGTTGTTTTGATGTGGGAGATAAGGTCCTGGTTGTAGAACCAAGATCTAAAAAGAAACTGGAGGTTTCTTGGGAGGAACCTTATGTAATAGGGTCAAAGACTGCAAAAGAGTGTAATCCTGTAAAATGTAGACTGGCCGGTTGTAATGTAAAACTGAGTAGTAGGGGGAGGAGAATTGGAATTGGGTGAAGGAAAAAAAAAAGAAGAAACAAACGACTTTATTATCTACAAGGGCCAGACCAAATAACACATTTCTGAATGAAGGTGTTATTATAGCAAGGTATAGGATAGTGTATTGTTTAGGAATTGGTTAATCTGGTCAATTGCAGTCTTACAAGGTATATGGTGTTATTACAAGTGGTGAACTGTATATGTTTCATACAGTAGGTATGATGTATAGATATATTCTTGTAAAGTGTGTTAGATGTATAGGTTTTGCTAATAGACAAAATGTAGTTAGATGTAAATATAGAGATGTTTGAATAGACTGTTTATTAACAATAGAAGAGAAAATTCCTTCTACTGTATTATAACCTTTATAGAGGACAAAAAAATCTCTTGTTAGTGAAATAGCTTTTGTTTAGATACAGAGACTTAAATCTCTCCAGAGTATTTAAATTTATTCCTAAGTGTAGGATTCTTGATGATATTAGAATATTGATGTATATAGATAAGATTATTGATGATATTAAAAGCTTAATATATATATATAAGTAAGAGTATAGAGATTATATATACATAGAATGACAGGAGGCATTCCATGGAAAAGGTATTGTATTTACTATGCTAGATAGTTTATATGCAATGTTGTAATGTATTTAACATGTTTTTTTTCCCCTACAGGAATGTATTTATGGTGTATTATGTATTTATGGTATATATTGATTGCAAAATGTATTTATTGCATAAATGTTTTATTGCAACAGGTGTTTATTGCAAATGTAGGTATGTACATAGATAGATAGATTAGCTAGAATAGATAGTAAGGGGGGTTAGTTAGGCCTAGTATAGTGTTAGCCTTTGCTTTGGAAAAGGTCTGCCCAGACGGCCAATAAAGGAGCTTTTATAATGGACAACAAATGTGGCGGCTTCTGGGATTTTTTTGCAGCTTGTTTCAGGAAGATTTCATCTGGAGTTTTGTACGCATTTTGAAAAAAATGGCTTGTTGTGGAACACAAGGATTGGTGATAAAGCCTCAGAGGAGACCCCTTTCCCCCATAATAATAACTCTTTCAGGAGTGACTTTCCCTTCCTAAGGATAGAATTTTCTCATTTCCTATTGCGTCACCCTTGTTCTTAACTATGAGTCAGTTGTCAGTTGGATGTTTGTAACTTGGGGACTGCCTGTACACAAATGTGAAGTTTCAAGGAGATCCTCAAGTGGTGACTAGTATCTTATCTCTCTGCTTCCATTTCCATTGGGCTCATGACGCCATCGGGGATGTGACCTAATGAGCCCAATTCAATATTGAATAGTCCCTTTCTCCCAAACCACTTGACTACAATGCCATCTTTTTGCCTACATCCCTCCCCCCTTTGTGGTTGTATCATCTTGGTTAATGTCATGACAGTATTCCCATATTAAGGGCACTGGAATTTGGTCAACATAGCCTCATTGCATTTATGTAATAAGATGTTTCTCTTTTTACGGTGCTGCATCTGGGAAGTTCCTGCTAACTGCAAGGTTGAACGCTGTGAAAACCATCCACTACATGGTTATCAGCCTCCTCCCAGTAGATGTAAATCAAGGAAAAGTTTCATGAGAACCACCACTCCTCTTAATGTTCCTCCAGCAACAGCAAGACGATCCCTCTTGAGCGGCTAAACCAGGAAATCTCAACTAGATGGTCCCCCATGAGGGTCTTCCTCCAGGGGCAAACCAAGAATGGGCAACATGGAAGTCCTTGTGCGCCAACTGCGACCGTACCTTGGGAAGTCCGACTTAGCCACGGTAGTCCACGCTCTGGTTACATC